CTTAGTAGCTGCCAGGCCCTCAGCACCACAGAGTAAAAATCAGAGAGTCCTGCTGTACTCAGCCCCTCCAGCCTCATGAGGAATAGCTGCCGGTCCAACCCTAATACGCCAGCTCTCCTCAGCAGCGCGCATGCTGGCTCCCTCCATCCGACATCAGTAGTCTCTGTGCCGCCTTTAGTCGGAATGCAGGCACCCTGCTCTCCAGTTCCACCAGGCCCTATCCTCCTTCATTTACAGACATATACAACACTGCCGCCCTCAGCCAGTGATGGCCCGACCAGAAAAAATCCACCAGCTTGCGTTGCAGGTCTGCGAGCAGACCGGCGGGGGGGTTGAGGACAGCCAGTTAATGCAACAAGGAAGATGCCACCAGGTTGTTGATTATCAGCACCCTCTCTCTATATGACACTTGGGACAGGAGCCTCCTCCACCTGGCCAGTCTTGACACCACTGCCTGTGACAGCCCCTCCCAGTTCTTCCTGACCCACCTCTCCGAGCCCAGGTACACCCCCAATATTTTAAGCCCTTCACAACCCCACTGCAACCCCTCTGGAAGCAGAGGAGGGGCCCTATCCCCCCATGCCCCACATAACAGAGCTTTGCTCTTTCCCCAGTTTACCTTAGCTGACGAAGCTCCCTCGTACACCTTACATTTCAGACTATTCTCTAGTGCCTGCATATCCTGACCATCCCTGTCCATCACAGAAACGTCATCTGCATACGCTGACACTGCTATGCCTGTCCAGCACACTCCCTGCAGTCTCCTGCGTAGCAGGCCCAAAAAAGGCTCAATGGCTAGTGTATATAACTGCCCTGATAGAGGGCATCCTTGTCTAATGCCCCGCCTCACCCAGACTGGCCTACTGAGCCCCCCTCCCACCTTAACCATACATGATGCCCCAGCATACAACATCTTCACATAGGCCAAAAACCTTTCCCCAAACCCAAACACAGACATCACATTAAACAGATACTCATGGTCCACTCTATCAAAAGCCTTCTCTTGATCTAAAGAGACCAGACCAAAGTTCACATTAGAACTTCTCGACAAGTCCAACATGTCCCTGATTAAGAACAAGTTGTCCGTGATTAAGCGTCCTGGTAGCGAGGACCTTGGCAAATATCTTGTAGTCCGCACAGAGCAATGCCACAAGCCTCCAGTTCTTAAGTTCACACAAGTCCCCTTTTTTGGGCAGGAGAGTCAGAGCCCCCTGCCGGCAGCTCATCGGCAACTCTCCTACCCCAACGCATTCACGCAACACGCAAAAGAAGTCCAGTCCAATTATTCCCCAGAATTTTTTATAAAACTCCACTGGGAGTCCCATCGACCCCCAGTGCACGGCCGGGGGACATCTGGGTTACGGCCTCTGACAGTTCATGGGACAACAGAGGAATGTCCATTTCATCCCTTTGTACCAGAGAGAGCTTAGGGAGTTCGGCAAACAAAACCTGAGCACACATAGGATCACACAGTTCTGCCTTAAACAATTCAGTATAAAACTCCACAGTCCGCTCCTGCATCTCCCCCACCACAGAGGTCACCCGCCCATCCGAAAGCCGTAGACAATGCATACCCTTGGCTTCACCGCTCTGTCTTTCCAAACCAAAGAAGGAGGAGCTGGGAGCATCCACCTCCTTGAGCATGGAGAACCTAGCTCTTACAAGTGCTCCCTTTGCTTTAACCTGGAAAAAACTGCCCAGGTCCCTACGTAGTTCAGATAGATTAGCCTGGAGGCCTACATTGCCTTGCCCCACCAGCTCTACCTCCATCTCACTAATACTACGTTCGAGTTCCCCCAATACTCTCCTATCCTAGGATGAGAGAGCTGTGTACTGTTGGCAGAAAAGCCGAATTTGGACTTTTCCCACATCCCACCATTGACTCAGAGACTCATACTCCTCTCTTCGCTGCCCCCTCCTTTCCCAAAAAGTCTGGAAACCTGAGCAAACAGTGGCATCTTGTAAGAGCTTTACATTAAACTTCCAATAGGATGCCTGCCGAGGCCCTGGTGAAATAGACAGCCGAGCCATGGTTATGGTATGATCCGAAAAACCCACCGGGAGAATGGTAGCGCCTATCGCTACAGACAAATGTAATGGTGCCTAAAGAGACACACGTAAATAGTTTGAAAATAAAGGCTTGGGTATTGCCTGTTGATCCCATCGCTTCTAGTCTCTATTGCCTTGATATGACTTCCTTATCAACATTCAACCCCTTCTCCTTTTCCTTGCCTCCCTCAGTACATAGAGCAGCTCAACAACCAGGTAATGGTTTGCGTTAATGGCCTGCGTCCGTAATGGGTCCGCGGTCAAATGACCACCCCTCATCACTGTCAAACGCTCCCTAAAACACTTTAGCGAGCAGGCCTTTCTAATAGACCTGGCCCGGGTATCCTGGATGGATATTGACCTCATTCCGTCAGTAGAGGATGCCTGGTTGTTCTTTTAAAAGTGTTTTCCTCTCAATCTTAAATAAGCATGCCCCATTCAAAAATTCAGAACTAAGAACAGATATAGCCCCTGGTTCTCCTCAGACTTGACTGCCCTTGACCAGCACAAAAACATCCTGTGGCGTACTGCATTAGCATCGAACAGCCCCCGCGATATGCAACTTTTCAGGGAAGTCAGGAACCAATATACACAATCAGTTAGGAAAGCAAAGGCTAGCTTTTTCAAACAGAAATTTGCATCCTGTAGCACAAACTCCAAAAAGTTATGGGACACTGTAAAGTCCATGGAAAATAAGAGCATCTCTTCCCAACTGCCCACTGCAGTGAGGCTAGGAAACACTGTCACCACCGATAAATCTACAATAATCGAGAATTTCAACATGCATTTTGCTACGGCTGGCTATGCTTTCCACCTGGCTACCACTACCCTGGCCACCAGCTCTGCACCCTCCGCTGCAACATGCCCATGCCCCCCCCCCCCGCTTCTCCTTCACACAAATTCAGACAGCTGATGTTCTGAAAGAGCTGAAAAATCTGGACCCCTACAAATCAGCTGGGCTAGACAATCTGGACCCTTTCTTTCTAAAATTAGCCGCCGAAATTGTCGCAACCCCTATTTCTAGCCTGTTCAACCTCTCTTTCGTAACGTCTGAGATCCCCAGAGATTGGAAAGCTGCCGCGGTCATCCCCCTCTTCAAAGGGGGTGACACTCTAGATCCAAACTGTTACAGACCTATATCCATCCTGCCCTGCCTTTTGAAAGTATTTGAAAGCCAAGTTAACAAACAGATCACCGACCATTTCGAATCCCACTGTACCTTCTCCGCTATGCAATCCGGTTTCCGAGCTGGTCATGGTTGCACCTCAGCCACGCTCAAGGTCCTAAACGATATTATAACCGCGATCGATAAAAGACAGTACTGCGCAGCCGTCTTCATCGACCTGGCCAAGGCTTTCGACTCTGTCAACCACCGCATTCTTATTGGCAGACTAAATAGCCTTGGTTTCTCTAATGACTGCCTCGCCTGGTTCACCAACTACTTCTCAGATAGAGTTGAATGTGTCAAATCGGAGGGCCTGTTGTCTGGACCTCTGGCCGTCTCTATGGGGGTGCCACAGGGTTCAATTCTCGGGCCGACTCTATTCTCTGTATATATCAATGATGTTGCTCTTGCTGCTGGTGAAGCTCGGATCCACCTCTATGCGGACGACATCATTTTGTATACATCTGGCCCTTCATTGGACACTGTGTTAACAAACCTCCAAACGAGTTCAACGCCATACAACACTCCTTCCGTAGCCTCCAACTGCTCTTAAACACTAGTAAAACGAAATGCATGCTCTTCAACCGAACGCTGCTTGCACCCGCCCACCCGACTAGAATCACTACTCTCGGCGGGTCTGACCTGGAGTATGTGGACAACTACAAATACCTAGGTGTCTGGTTAGACTGTAAACTATCCTTCCAGACTCACATTAAGCATCTCCAATCAAAAGTTAGATCTAGAATCGGCTTCCTATTTCGCAACAAAGCCTCCTTCACTCATGCTGCCAAACATGCCCTTGTAAAACTGACTATCCTACCGATCCTTGACTTCGGCGATGTCATTTACAAAATAGCCTCCAACACTCTACTCAGCAAATTGGATGTAGTCTATCACAGTACCATCCGTTTTGTCACCAATTCGTCCAGGGTAGGGGAGGGAATGGCCGGCAGGGATGTAGCTCAGTTGATAGAGCATGGCGTTTGCAACGCCAGGGTTGTGGGTTCGATTCCCACGGGGGGCCAGTATAAAAAAAAAAATGTAATCACTAACTGTAAGTCGCTCTGGATAAGAGCGTCTGCTAAATGACTAAAATGTAATGTAAATGTCACCATAGCAACACCCACCCGTAGTCTGTGCTCCGGCAGGTATATCTCACTGGTCATCCCCAAAGCCAACTCCTTCTTTGGCCACCATTCCTTCCAGTTCTCTGCTGCCAATGACTGGAACGAACTGCAAAAATCTCTGAAGCTGGAGACTCTTATCTCCCTCACTAACTTTAAGCGTCAGTTGTCAGAGCAGCTTACAGATTACTGCACCTGTACACAGCCATTCTGAAATTAGCCCACCCAACTACCTCATCCCCATATTGTTATTTATTTTGCTAATTTGCACCCCAGTATCTCTATTTACACATCATCTTTTGCACATCTATCATTCCAGCCTTAATACGAAATTGTAACTATTTTGCACTATGGCCTATTTATTGCCTTACCTCCATAACTTACTACATTCGCACACACTGTATATATATTTTCTGTTTGTATTTTTGACTTTATGTTTTGTTTACCCCATATGTAACTCTGTGTTGTTGTTTTTATCGCACTGCTTTGCTTTATCTTGGCCAGGTCGCAGTTGTAAATGAGAACTTGTTCTCAACTGGCTTACCTGGTTAAATAAAGGTGTCTGCTTCTAGCAATTGCTTCTAACTTGACATGGTATCTACGGTATGTTCCTCCCTCTCTTCCTCTTCTCCCAGTACATCAAGGCATTCTATAACCAGACGATGGTAGCGAGGAATGGGACGGGTCTGGACGACAAGAAGCTTACGTTGTTCTACTCCCTCACCGTGTCTGTGTTTGCCATCGGGGGTATGGTGGGCAGCCTCATGGTGGGCATACTTGTCACCAGATTTGGAAGGTAAGACTTAACCCCAAGTCTTAGGCTTGCCCCTCCAGCCATAATTGACATACAGTGGGGGAAAAAAAGTATTTAGTCAGCCACCAATTGTGCAAGTTCTCCCACTTAAAAAGATGAGAGAGGCCTGTAATTTTCATCAGAGGTACACGTCAACTATGACAGACAAATTGAGGAAAAAAAACCCCAGAAAATCACATTGTAGGATTTTTAATGAATTTATTTGCAAATTATGGTGGAAAATAAGTATTTGGTCACCTACAAACAAGCAAGATTTCTGGCTCTCACAGACCTGTAACTTCTTCTTTAAGAGGCTCCTCTGTCCTCCACTCGTTACCTGTATTAATGGCACCTGTTTGAACTTGTTATCAGTATAAAAGACACCTGTCCACAACCTCAAACAGTCACACTCCAAACTCCACTATGGCCAAGACCAAAGAGCTGTCAACGGACAGCAGAAACAAAATTGTAGACCTGCACCAGGCTGGGAAGACTGAATCTGCAATAGGTAAGCAGCTTGGTTTGAAGAAATCAACTGTGGGAGCAATTATTAGGAAATGGAAGACATACAAGACCACTGATAATCTCCCTCGATCTGGGGCTCCACGCAAGATCTCACCCCGTGGGGTCAAAATGATCACAAGAACGGTGAGCAAAAATCCCAGAACCACACGGGGGGACATAGTGAATGACCTGCAGAGAGCTGGGACCAAAGTAACAAAGCCTACCATCAGTAACACACTACGCCGCCAGGGACTCAAATCCTGCAGTGCCAGACGTGTCCCCCTGCTTAAGCCAGTACATGTCCAGGCCCGTCTGAAGTTTGCTAGAGTGCATTTGGATGATCCAGAAGAGGATTGGGAGAATGTCATATGGTCAGATGAAACCAAAATAGAACCTTTTGGTAAAAACTCAACTCGTTGTGTTTGGAGGACAAAGAATGCTGAGTTGCATCCAAAGAACACCATACCTACTGTGAAGCATGGGGGTGGAAACATCATGCTTTGGGGCTGTTTTTCTGCAAAGGGACCAGGACGACTGATCCGTGTAAAGGAAAGAATGAATGGGGCCATGTATCGTGAGATTTTGAGTGAAAACCTCCTTCCATCAGCAAGGGCATTGAAGATGAAACGTGGCTGGGTCTTTCAGCATGACAATGATCCCAAACACACCGCCCGGGCAACGAAGGAGTGGCTTCGTAAGAAGCATTTCAAGGTCCTGGAGTGGCCTAGCCAGTCTCCAGATCTCAACCCCATAGAAAATCTTTGGAGGGAGTTGAATGTCCGTGTTGCCCAGCGACAGCCCCAAAACATCACTGCTCTAGAGGAGATCTGCATGGAGGAATGGGCCAAAATACCAGCAACAGTGTGTGAAAACCTTGTGAAAACTTACAGAAAACATTTGACCTGTGTCATTGCCAACAAAGGGTATATAACAAAGTATTGAGAAACTTTTGTTATTGACCAAATACTTATTTTCCACCATAATTTGCAAATAAATTCATTAAAAATCCTACAATGTGATTTTCTGGAATTTTTTTCCTAATTTTGTCTGTCATAGTTGACGTGTACCTATGATGAAAATTACAGGCCTCTCTCATCTTTTTAAGTGGGAGAACTTGCACAATTGGTGGCTGACTAAATACTTTTTCCCCCACTGTAACGCCATTGACATACGCCATTGACATAATGTCAATGACATAACTTAATTGACATGCAGTGCCTATAAAAAGTCTACACCACCTTGAACGTTTTTCCAATTTTGCTGCCTTAAAATGAAATCTAAAAATGGACTAAATTATATATGTTTTCCTACAGATCTACACATCCTACTCCACATTTTCAAAGAGAAAGAAAGTTATAGAACATTTTCCAAATCAATAAAAAATTATAATAAAAAATATATATAATAATTGGATGTCTCCACCCCCCTGAGTTAATACTTGATGGAAGCACATTTGGCAGCCATTACAGCTGTGGATCATTTTAAATAAGATTATTCCAACTTTGCACAAGTCTTAGGGCAACATACTGTATATTCATTGTTTTTGTCAAACTTGCTCAAGCTCATTAAATTTGGTTGGGAATCACTGATGGCCAGCAATATTCAAACCTTGTCTCTGATTTTCAAGCACATTTAAGTCAGGACTGAGACTAGACCACTCAGGAACACTTAACACCTCCTGGAAAGTCATTCTGGTGTGTCTTTGTCATAAAAATCTGTGTAATTGTCTTGCTGAAAAATAAAACTCTATCCCAGGGTCAGGTATTCAGAAGACTGAGGTGGGTGTTCCTCAAACCTTTTACGTGGGCTTTGCTCCTTTCATATTTATTTTGATCCTCACAAACTCCCCAGTCCCTGCCAGTGACAAGCATACCCATAACATGATGCATTTTAGGCGAAAATTGAAAAAAAGGGTTAGATCCTTAAGAGGTTAAGGTTTGTAGAAGGTTTCTCAGGCTGATTGTTCTGCTGTCTACAGGAAAGGGACCCTGGTGAGAATCACATGTCTGGTGTTCATAGCTGGAGCCTTCATGGGCTTCAGCAGGACCTTCGGCTCTCCAGAGATGATCATTGTTGGACGCTTCATCACAGGGGTACACTCAGGTAATGCAGTAACAGAGAATAATGCCATTATGTCCTACCGTCCTTAACAAATGAAGTAAGGATTAGGAAACACTATTTGAGGGGGTAATCATAAGGAAAAAGCAAAAACAGGTTTTTAGAAATGTGTGCTAATTTATCAAAAAATTAAATAACACATTTACATAAGTATTCTGACCATTTACTCAGTACTTTGTTGAAGCACCTTTGGCAGCGATTACAGCCTCGAGTCTTCTTGGGTATGACGCCACAAGCTTGGCACATCTTTATTTGGGGAGTTTCTCCCATTCTCTGCAGATCCTCTCAAGCTCTGTCAGGTTGGATGGGGAGCGTTGCTGCACAGCTACAGTGCAGCAACGCTCCCCATCCAACCTGAGTAAAGGGTCTGAGTAAAGGGTCTGAATAATTATGTAAATGTGATATTTCCGTTTTTTTTATTGTATAAATTTGCTAACATTTCAAAAATGCGGTTTTTACTTTGTCATTATGGGATAATGTGTGTAGATTGATGAGGAAAACAACAATTTAATCAAATTTAGAATAAGGCTGTAACACATTTTTTTGTTGAAAAAGTGAAGGAGTCTGAATGCTTTCCGAATGCACTGTAACTTGACACTTGACACAAGTGCGCATAGGCATCTCTCTCTCGCTCTCTCGCTCTCTCTCTCTCTACCACACCTGCTGTCTCGACCTCTGAATGCTCGGCTATGAAAAGTCAACTGACATTTACTCTTGAGGTGCTGACTTGTTGCACCCTCTATAACCATTGTGATTATTATTTCACCCTGCTGGTCATCTATGAACCTTTGAACATCATGAAGAACTATCTAGCCTTAATGACCATGTACTCTTATAATCTCCACCGGCATAGCAAGAAGAGGACTGGCCACCCCTCAGAGTCTGGTTCCTCTCTAGGTTTCTTCCTAGGTTCCTGCCTTTCTAGGGAGTTTTTCCTAGACACCATGCTTCTACATCTGCATTGCTCGCACTTTGGGGTTTTAGGCTGGGTTTTGGTATAAGCATTTTGTGACATCTGCTGATGTAAAAAGGACTTTAAATAAATACATTTGATTGAATTTGATTTATGCATTTCTGTGTTGTGTTTTACTTATCTAAATGAATCTTTATCAGGTCTTCTGTCTGTTGCTCTACAACACATTATCAGCTCTTATCAGCAACAATTCTAGCTGTAAGGTTAACTGCTAGTGCTGAATCTGGTCTGTGTACTGTCCATATCCCCCTCCCTCCAGGTATCTTTTTGAGTGTGGTACCTATGTACCTGGGGGAGATAGCACCTAAGAACCTGTATGACCTCTCACCTCTGTTCCCCTCCCTCCAGGTATCTCTCTGAGTGTGGTGCCAATGTATCTTGGAGAGATAGCACCTAAGAACCTGCGAGGCTTCCTGGGCCTCGTGCCTAGCATCTTTATCTGTCTAGGAGTCTTCATCGCTCAGATCCTGGGGCTACATGAACTACTCGGAAAGGTGCAGTAAAATCTTATCCTTAATATCTTAGTTCATAGTTAATCTTCTTTGTTGGTCTTTTCTTTGGCGTAAATAGATAAAGAAGGCACCTTCTGAAGAGGTACAAACAAATGAAACTTAACCTCTTCAACTCTGGCGCCCTCTGGTGGCATTTTCTAAACGCTGCATAATATTGTATACTACCCTCATAAAGTACATTTCGGTTTCAAAACTATAAGTCCTACAAACACATGCTTAGTACTGTTACAAAGGTAAGAACTGTGGGATTCTGATAAAGTTGAAACGATGTGACTACTACAGAGCCCGAGATGCAGCAGGCCTAAACCCCCTGAAATGTACAGTTTTTTTTCTACATGGTAGACTCATCTTTTACGATGATCTCCATTCAGCAGACTATTTGGCTGCTTTTCATTCCAGAGAATATTTAAAAGAAACTCATATTGACCTCTTGCTGACCCTATATCCTTTGGCCTCTGACCCCTCAACAGGAAGAGCACTGGCCCCTCTTCCTGTCTCTGGTGGTGATCCCCACCATGTTCCAGCTGATGCTGTTGCCGTGGTTCCCAGAGAGCCCGCGGTACTTGCTCATAGAGAAGAGGAACGTCCATGCCACCATCACAGGTGAGGAGGCTCCGTCCATTAGGGGGATACAGTTGATAGTTGAGTTCTTTCTTTCTTTCTTTTTTTTCTCTCCTTTTTTATTTATTTCTGGGCATATAGACTAGACTGTAACATACCTAAATGACCTGAATTGCTATTGTAAGGAGTATTATTCAAAGAGATGCACATTTTTCTGTTTGTTTGGTTTTTTGGGAAAAGCTGTAACCACAGACCAATACAACAAAGACTTGTATTTCAATACTATCCATACTGTATACAACCCTAGCTGTGCTGTACTCACCAGTTTAGTAAACTGAACTTCTCTCCCCAGCTCTGAAGTGGTACCGGTCCAAAGCAAACATCCAGGCGGAGATCGAGGAGATGCAGGAGGAGCAGCGGTCCATGTCCTCGGTCCAGACCGTGTCGGTCATCGGCCTGCTGAAGGACCGGAGCGTCCGATGGCAGGTCATCACTATAGTGGTGGTCAATATCGGCATGCAGCTGTCCGGTATCGACGCGGTGGGTCAGTGTGTGTTTGTCCATACATGCATGCATACATGCAGGAGAGTATGTGTCCGTGTGTGTGTATACACCATATGCCCCTATCACCACCTGTTCTCAGCTGTACATGATAAATCCCTCATCACCACCACCACCATATATTACAGCCTCACTTAGAACCACTGGTGCTGAGTGACAAAGCAGGAGCACGCCTCATTACTGTACAATACACCCTAGACACACACACACATCCTTATTTCATAGTCCAAATGGATCCCCACACACACTGGTCCTAGTGATAAGGGCCCTTGGCCCTTCAGCACCATGTGGATAAGCACTGGTCTACATGGTCTCATGCTGGTCCCCATTTCACAGCACGGCCACGCTATGCTGATTTTTACTGTCGCAGCTGTTCCAGACACGGAACACAACAGCTCTAATGTGATATCAAATAACCCCAATGTCCACCTTTTAAATTCCGAGGTCTTTACAACCCATTTTCTGCTTGGTGATACTAGATACTAGAAGTCCAATCAGAATTCTACACAGGGATGGGCAAATACCAGTGTGTGGATATGACATATGTTAATGAGTGGGTGGAAAGATCCATATACAGTGGGGAGAAGCAAGTATTTGATAAACTGCCGATTTTGCAGGTTTTCCTACTTACAAAGCATGTAGAGGTCTGTAATTTTTATCATAGGTACACTTCAACTGTGAGAGACGGAATCTAAAACCAAATTCCAGAAAATCACATTGTATGATTTTTAAGTAATTAATTTGCATTTTATTGCATGACATAAGTATTTGATCACCTACCAACCAGTAAGAATTCCGTCTCTCACAGACCTGTTAGTTTTTCTTTAAGAAGCCCTCCTGTTCTCCACTCATTACCTGTATTAACTGCACCTGTTTGAACTTGTTACCTGTATAAAAGACACCTGTCCACACACTCAATCAAACAGACTCCAACCTCTCCACAATGGCCAAGACCAGAGAGCTGTGTAAGGACATCAGGGATAAAATTGTAGACCTGCACAAGGCTGGGATGGGCTACAGGACAATAGGCAAGCAGCTTGGTGAGAAGGCAACAACTGTTGGCGCAATTATTAGAAAATGGAAGAAGTTCAAGATGACGGTCAATCACCCTCGGTCTGGGGCTCCATGCAAGATCTCACCTCGTGGGGCATCAATGATCATGAGGATGGTGAGGGATCAGCCCAGAACTACACGGCAGGACCTGGTCAATGACCTGAAGAGAGCTGGGACCACAGTCTCAAAGAAAACCATTAGTAACACACTACGCCGTCATGGATTAAAATCCTGCAGCACACACAAGGTCCCCCTGCTCAAGCCAGCGCATGTCCAGGTCCGTCTGAAGTTTGCCAATTACCATCTGGATGATCCAGAGGAGGAATGGGAGAAGGTCATTTTTTTATTTTATTTTTTTGTCATTTAGCAGACGCTCTTATCCAGAGCGACTTACATTAGCAATTAGGGTTAAGTGCCTTGCTCAAGGGCACATCGACAGATCTTTCACCTAGTCGGCTCGGGGATTAGAACCAGCGACCTTTCGGTTACTGGCACAACGCTCTTAACCACTAAGCTACCTGCCGCCCCATGTGGTCTGATGAGACAAAAATAGAGATTTTTGGTCTAAACTCCATTCGCCGTGTTTGGAGGAAGAAGAAGGATGAGTACAACCCCAAGAACACCATCCCAACCGTGAAGCATGGAGGTGGAAACATCATTCTTTGGGGATGCTTTTCTGCAAAGGGGACAGGACGACTGCACCGTATTGAGGGGAGGATGGATGGGGCCATGTATCGCGAGATCTTGGCCAACAACCTCCTTCCCTCAGTAAGAGCATTGAAGATGGGTCGTGGCTGGGTCTTCCAGCATGACAACGACCTGAAACACACAGCCAGGGCAACTAAGGAGTGGCTCCGTAAGAAGCATCTCAAGGTCCTGGAGTGGCCTAGCCAGTCTCCAGACCTGAACCCAATAGAAAATCTTTGGAGGGAGCTGAAAGTCCGTATTGCCCAATGACAGCCCCAAAACCTGAAGGATCTGGAGAAGGTCTGTATGGAGGAGTGGGCCAAAATCCCTGCTGCAGTGTGTGCAAACCTGGTCAAGACCTACAGGAAACGTATGATCTCTGTAATTGCAAACAAAGGTTTCTGTACCAAATATTAAGTTCTGCTTTTCTGATGTATCAAATACTTATGTCATGCAATAAAATGCTAATTAATTACTTAAAAATCATACAATGTGATTTTCTGGATTTTTGTTTTAGATTCCGTCTCTCACAGTTGAAGTGTACCTATGATAAAAATTACAGACCTCTACATGCTTTGTAAGTAGGAAAACCTGCAAAATCGGCAGTGTATCAAATACTTGTTCTCCCCACTGTATGTGTATGGATGGTTACTGAAACCAACTATATGTGTTTATTTCATCTACTTTTCCTGATCTTGTCCGTTTTAGAGGATGTGTGTTGCTGTAGTGAAGTATGATGAATGAGATGGTGCCATTCATTCATTTCACTGGGAATACTATAAGTCAACGTTGACATATTGGAACACAGCATTGATTAAATATATCTGATTTGACAGATGGTACCCTTACGAAAAAAGATTGCAGTCAGAGTGCAGTATAACTGCAGTACACTGTAGTATAACTGTAGTTAGGGGGCAGTATAACTTCAGTATGCTGCAAATACTGCATCTAAAATAACACTGTTTTTTTATACTGCAGTAATTTTGCAGTGTAACTGCAGTTACAGTGTAGTATAAATGCAGTTCAACTGCAGTACACTGCAGTTATTCTGCAATCACTTTGTCCAAAATACCACAGTCGACTGCAGTTACTGCACTTTTACTGCAGTTTTAAAAATGTTTCAATCTGTTTTTGTAAGGATAGTCGGGAGGATAATGACAACAGTGATGATGAATCAGACATGAATAGTAAGAGCTTTAGAATGACCATTAGCTGAACGTTGTATATTTGTTTATCCAGGTTGAAACAGACGGCCATGTTTAATATGTACACTCAGTTACTAATGTTGTTGTTGTTGATGATGATGATGTAAGCGCTGTACAGTCCAAAACACTGAACAATTGAGTATCCAAAGAACAATGCAGCAAAGATGTAGCCCTACAGTATGTATATTCAACAACGTACATGTTCACTACTCACAGTTCAGCTACTGATCTACAACTGTCTCTCTTCAGATCTGGTTCTATACCAACGCCATCTTTGAGAACGCAGGTATCCCAGTCCCTCAGATCCAGTACACCACGGTTGGAACCGGAGCCATTGAGGTTATCGCTGGATGCGTAGGGGTAAGCAAGCAGTCATTGGATTACTGTGTGAGCACAACAGTTGAGCATGCTAGCTTAGCCTGGTTCACCAGACTGAAAGCTACTCTCAATGGTGAGTGACGCGTTCAGTCTGGTTTAATCAGGCTAACATTAGCTAGCCTACTCTAGTCTGAGGTATTATTATTATTGTCTGGTAGCTGGTGGTAATACTGACTTCAACACTCCTTTTGGACAAGCCTGTGGGTTAGCTATAAGGCTATGCCTCAGGAACCGTGAAGCATATAGCCACTGAGATACTATAGTCAAACCACAGCTATATTATATACAGTATATGATATATACATTCTATACAGTACGGCTCTGGTTCAGACCATGTCTGTCCCAAATGGCACCCTATTCCCTATATATTCTCCTATGGTCCCTGGTCAAAAGTAGTGCACTACAAAGTAAATAGGGTGACATTTGGGATGCATCCCATGACTACATTTTCTAAAGAGACATATAGGTCAGTGGACATACTACTGGGTGCTGAGCTATTCCAAGAAACACCGTCTCTGGGTAGCAGTTTAAAAAATTTCCCATACAGAAGCATAACATTGACATGTTATGTCGTCGGCCAATAGAAATAACTTGTTCTCCTTTGTTCCGCCTCCAGTGCTTCATCATTGAACGGCTGGGCAGAAGACCTCTGATGATTGGTGGATTTACCTTCATGGGAATTTGCTGTGCAGGGATCACGCTCTCCCTCATGTTCCAGGTACATTAATCTATCCATGTAGAATCTTCCCCTATAGAGACAGGTCTAGGATCAGTTCACCAACCTGGAATTCTACATTTTCTCTGAAAAGTGAAAATCGGATTTCAGGTCAGTTTATAGAAGGAAAATGTAATCTTCATATATTCATTACTATTAGTCTGAATCGTGCAGACTCTCTTTGTTGTTAGTTACTGTCTCTGTGTCTTTGACTGAGTATATTCAGTGACCAGTCAGTACTGTTTGTAATGGGATGACTGTCCTATGGTCTCTGATAATGACTGTCCTATGCTTCCATTCACTGCCCATTAAGTCCCACTACATCAGTGTTGCCTGTGTGGTGGGGATCATCGCTGGCTTCTGTATAGGACCAGGTAAGACATCTACTCTGGTAGTCTGCTTGTTTGTTTATCTCTGTCTCTCTCCTTCAAAACAGGGTTCTATGCTCAGGAGGTATATATCTCTCTCAATAGAAGAGTGAGTACTTCCACTTTCAGCAGAAGGGGCTATAATACTACTAATTTAAGTTATTTAGCAGATGCTGTTATCCAGAGAAACTAGGGTTAAGTGTCTTGCTCAAGGGCACATCAGCAGATTTTTCACCAAGTTGGCTCAGGGATTCAAACCAGCAACCTTTCAGTTACTGGGCCAACACGCTTAACCGCTAGGCTACCTGTAGCACTTTGAACATTCCATTTCATCCAATAGACACAGCCTGTTATATTCAACTAGGAAACATTGCTCTCTGGTGGTAGAATATAGAAGTGCTCTTGGAAAGGCAGCCAAAACTCCCCTCACTGTTTACCCGACATAAATAGCTACTCTATTGTATTTCATTAATCTACTAAATGAGGAAATCATAATTGCCACGGTAACAGGAACATCCATTCTTACACCTATTTGTTTGGGGCTCATCGGCTGAACGCAACAGTATTAGAATGCTGATGGTGGCTATAAGCATGATGAATTAGACCAACACTAGTTTACATAATGTCATCTGTCAAGCAGGCAAAATCCATACATCAAGCTCAGATGAGGATTTTCTGTTTGCCGCAATTAGATTTTCAATGGCTCATTGTTCATAATGAATATTTTGGTGTGTGGTGTGTGATGAATATGCTTCCTTGAGACAAAAACTTGCATTAACAATGTGAAGGGGCCCATATTACTGCATATGTAGACTGATTGTAGAGCCCTACTTATTGATTATATTATCAAGCCTTCTCCCCTATGTCATGATCATGTTCAAATAATGAGGACTTAACTTGACACGTTCATCATTAGGCTTTTCCTAATGTATTATTCCTCATTCATACTATCTCTCATTTCTAACCATGAAGAATTAGATATTTGTAGCAATGAAACCATCTATAGATTCTAAATATTATAGATTCAACAATTGAGGTACAGATGTAGGATCGTAATTTGATCACTGTTTTGTTGCTGAGAATTTTCCTGCACCGCAGGAAATACAGATGAGCTTGTGATTTACATAAATTCACTGAAAATCCACACTAACACACGGTTATATTAACAGTATTTCACTTTTCATGTAACCTATTTTTGGCCAGCTAATAGCCTAACCACCAATCAAGCAACATTATGGACTAAACATTCAAATCCTGTTGCTGTAGGATTATTTGGCTGTGCCAATACGGGACAAATTAAGATCCTACATCTGTAATTTAGCTCGTATTACACCAATGGAATATAATGGTGGTTTTAATCCTCAATGTACTATTATTACTCTAAAGTCTTGCTGTTATCAATATCATTGGTTTGGTAGTTTGCCCAACTTCACATGTGACTATAACTAGTAGCCCATGATGTAGACTAAGGCTGTGTTCACACAGGCAGCCACGTTCTGATATTATTTCCACTAATTGTTATTTTGACCAATCACATCAGAACTTTTCACATCAGATCTTTTTCAGAGTTGATCTGATTGCTCAAAAGACCAATTAGTGAAAGAAAGATCAGAATTGGGTTGCCTGTCTAAATGCAGCCAATGTGTCTCATTGTGTGTGTGTCTCTGTCCCTGTGTAGCTGGAGTACCCTTCCTGATTACAGCAGAGCTGTTTAAACAGTCCCATCGTCCAGCTGCCTACACCGTGGCAGGATGCCTCAACTGGCTGTCCAACTTCACCATCGGCTTTGTCTTCCCCTTCCTACAGGTCAGAACTACTGGCCTATACAGTGAGGGAAAAAAGTGTTTGATCCCCTGCTGATTTTGTACGTTTGCCCACTGACAAAGAAATTATCAGTGTATAATTTTAATGGTAGGTTTATTTGAACAGTGAGTGACAGAATAACAACAAAAAAATCCAGAAAAACGCATGTCAAAAATGTTATAAATTGATTTGCAATTTAATGAGGGAAATAAGTATTTGACCCCCTCTCAATCAGAAAGATTTCTGGCTCCCATGTGTCTTTTATACAGGTAACGAGCTGAGATTAGGAGCACACTCTTAAAGGGAGTGCTCCTAATATCAGCTTGTTACCTGTATAAAAAGACACCTGTCCACAGAAGCAATCAATCAATCAGATTCCAAACTCTCCACCATGGCCAAGACCAAAGAGCTTTCCAAGGATGTCATGGACAAGATTGTAGACCTACACAAGGCTGGAATGGGCTACAAGACCATCGCCAAGCAGCTTGGTGAGAAGGTGACAACAGTTGGTGCGATTATTCGCAAAAGGAAGAAACACAAAATAACTGTCAATCTCCCTCGGCCTGGGGCTCCATGCAAGATCTCACCTCGTGGAGTTGCAATGATCATGAGAACGGTGAGGAATCAGCCCAGAACTACACGGGAGGATCTTGTCAATGATCTCAAGGCAGCTGGGACCATAGTCACCATGAAAACAATTGGTAACACACTACGACGTGAAGGACTGAAATCCTGCAGCGCCCGCAAAGTCCCCCTGCTCAAGAAAGCACATATACAGGGCCGTCTGAAGTTTGCCAATGAACATCTGAATGATTCAGAGGAGAACTGGGTCAAAGTGTTGTGGTCAGTTGAGACCAAAATCGAGCTCTTTGGCATCAACTCAACTCGCCGTGTTTGGAGGAGGAGGAATGCTGCCTATGACCCCAAGAACACCATCCCCACTGTCAAACATGGAGGTGGAAACATTATGCTTTGGGGGTGTTGGACGGGGCCATGTACTGTCAAATCTTGGGTGAGAACCTCCTTCCCTCAACTAGGGCATTGAAAATGGGTTGTGGATGGGTATTCCAGCATGACAATGACCCAAAACACACGGCCAAGGCAACAAAGAAGTGGCTCAAGAAGAAGCACATTAAGGTCCTGGAGTGGCCTAGCCAGTCTCCAGACCTTAATCCCATAGCAAATCTGTGGAGGGAGCTGAAGGTTCGAGTTGCCAAACGTCAGCCTCGAAACCTTAATGACTTGGAGAAAATCTGCAAAGAGGAGTGGGACAAAATCCCTCCTGAGATGTGTGCAAACCTGGTGGCCAACTACAAGAAACGTCTGACCTCTGTGATTGCCAACAAGGGTTTTGCCACCAAGTACTAAGTCATGTTTTGCAGAGGGGTCAAATACTTATTTCCCTCATTAAAATACAAATCAATTTATACCATTTTTGACATGCGTTTTTCTGGATTTTTTGTTGTTATTCTGTCTCTCACTGTTCAAATAAACCTACCATTAAAATTATAGACTGATCATGTCTTTGTCAGTGGGCAAACGTACAAAATCAGCAGGGGATCAAATACTTTTTTCCCTCACTGTAATTACTCCAGTACACACGTTTTACCGCTGTATGTTGGCATTTTAGTCAGGCTTTTTTCACGACAGCTCTCTATCCAGCTCCCTATCCCCTCAAACTCCCCTCAAACTAATCTGTAGTAGTAAAGCCTTAGTATAGCAGTAGTATCGTAGTAGTATAGCAGTAGTATAGTAGTAGTATAGCAGTAGTATACTAGTAGTATAGCAGTAGTATATCATAGTATATCAGTAGTATAGCAGTAGTATAGCTGTAGTATAGTAGTAGATAGTAGTAGAATATTAGCAAATAGTACCAGATGTTTTAATTCATTATTTTAATTGCCATCGTCTGAAGATCCAATTCACATCATGTTCTGTTACTTTTCCCTCTAATAAATTAAATTCATTCAATGAGCAACTCTTTCTCCACCCCCCCAGATGTCGGCAGGGGCCTACTGCTACCTGGTGTTCTTTGGCGTGTGCATGGCGGTGGCGGCCTACGTTTTCTTCATCGTCCCCGAGACCAAGAACAAGACATTTGTGGAGATCAGCCAGATGTTCGCAGGCCAGGAACGGCATGCTGGAGGAGGAGAGCAGCGAGCTGGGCGTCGCTAACAACCTCAAACTAGCCAAGATGAACGGCTATGGTGCTGTTGACCTGGAGTACGGAGTGATAGAGAAGAAGAAGTAGACGCCTGTGTGAGTCTACCACCCCTTATGTAAGAGTTCTAGGATAGTGTTTGAGATGTGGTCGGCAGGTTGCTTAGTGGTTAAGAGTGTTGTGTCAGTAACCGAAAGGTCGCTGGTTCTAATCCCCGAGCCGACTAGGTGAAAAATCTGTCGATGTGCCCTTGAGCAAGGCACTTAACCCTAATTGCTCCTGTAAGTCGCTCTGGATAAGAGCATCTGCTAAATGACTGAAATGTTTTAATGTTTTCTCAATGGTGTCTAAGTTCAATTATGGCCATATTTATGTAAATGAAAAAATAAATGACAGAAATCTACTGTATCTCCATACAGTTCCAAAATATAACATTGAATGTTACGAGTTCATACAGTAACCTACATTGACTCGATGGATTGGTAGGAAGTCAGTAAATCATCTACAAATGTTCTATGTAGCGATCATCAGGTTTCACTCTCTTCCCAGTTATATGTGCCGACGCCCAGCTCTTTTGAATGCATTCCGTAAAGCATGCCGGAAGTATTCTTCTCATTTCAAGATCCGTGCCTTAAGTCTTCTTTTCTAAATCTGACTGAGTACCTTTCTTACAATGTATGGTATAGAGAGAATGTATTTATTTATTGACGCAACAACAGTATCATGATACCACCCAGATATGAATGCAATATCTGTTTTTACCATTTTCCTGATCACTGGTTTTGACAGAAAAGGACAACAGAGGTCAGTTCACATCATGTGAATGGTATAGTTTTAGTAACACTTTATCAGGTGTTATAATGCCTTATAAACATATTCATAGCACATAATAAGGTGCTGTGAACGCTTATAAGGCTTCATAAAAGGTGCTCCAAGTGTTACAGTATCTTCGATCATGTTTACCTTGCTTAGCTCAAGAGAAAACCAATAACTTGAGTTTGTTTGTTTATGTTTCTTGCTTCTCTCTTTTGCGTAAGAGAGCTTGTAAATGTGGCTACTGTAGTAGTCATTCCATATTCCAAGGCAGGATACGTTCTATATTGTACGTTATATCGTACCTGTCAAACAGATATGCACAAGAAAGTGTGTAGGAGGATATATACAGTAAACACTGAGTATACCTAACATTAGGAACACCTTCCTAATATTGAGTTGTACCCCTTTTTGCCCTCAGAACAGCCTCAATTCGTCGGGGCATGGACTCTACAAGGTGTCGAAAGCATTCCACAGGGATGCTGGCCCATGTTGAGCCAATGATTCCCACAGTTGTGTCAAGTTGGCTTGATGTCCTTTGGGTGGTGGACCATTCTTGATTCACACGGGAAATTGTTGAGTGTAAAAAACCCAGCAGCGTTGCAGTTCTTGACACACTCAAACCGGTGCGCCTGGCACCTACTACCAAACCTCATTCAAAGGCACTTAAATATTTTGTCTTGCCCATTCACCCTCTGAATGGCACACATACACAATCCATGTCTCAATTGTCTCAAGGCTTAAAAATCCTTCTTTAACCTGTCTCCTCCCCTTCATCTACACTGATTGAAGTGGATTTAACAAGTGACATCAATAAGGGATCATAGCTATCACCTGGATTCACCTGGTCAGTCTATGTCATGGAAAGAACAGGTATCCTTAATGTTTTGTATACTCAGTGTATATTGTACTGTACGTTATATTGTACCTGTCAAACAGATATGTGCAAGAAAACGTGTCTGTCTGTCTGTCTGTCTCTCTCTCTCTCTCTCTCCCTACTCATTCCAGGGTTTTTCTTTATTTTTACTATGTTCTACATTGTAGAATAATAGTGAAGACATCAAAACTATGAAATAACACATATGGAATCATGTAGTAACCAAAAAGGTGTTAAACAAAATATATTTTATATTTGAGATTCTTCAAAGTAGCCACCCTTTGCCTTGATGACAGCTTTGCACACACTTGGCATTCTCTCAACCAGCTTCATGAGGGAGTCACCTGGAATGCATTTCAATTCACAGGTGTGCCTTGTTAAAAGTTAATTTGTGGAATTTCTTTCCTTCTTAATGCGTATGAGCCAATCAGTTGTGTTGTGACAAGGTAGGGGTGGTATACAGAAAATAGCCCTATTTGGTAAAAGACTAAGTCCATATTATGGCAAGAACAGCTCAAATAAGCAAAGAGAAGCGACAGTCCATCATTACTTTAAGACATGAAGGTCAGTCAACCCAGCAAATTTCAAGAACTTTGAAAGTTTCTTCAAGTGCAGTCGCAAAAACCATCAATTGCTATGATGAAACTGGCTCTCATGGGGACCGCCACAGGAAAGGAAGACCCAGAGTTACCTCTGCTGCAGAGGATAAGTTCACTAGAGTTACCAACCTCAGAAATTGCAGCCCAAATAAATGCTTCACAGAGTTCAAGTAACAGACACATCTCAACATCAACTGTTCAGAGGAGACTGTGTGAATCAGGCTTTCATGGTCAAATTGCTGCAAAGAAACCACTGCTAAAGGACACCAATAAGAAGAAGAGACTTGCTCGGGCCAAGAAACAAGAGCAATGGACATTAGACCGGTGGAAATCTGTCCTTTGGTCTGATGAGTCCAAATTGGAGATTTTTGGTTCCAACCGCCGTGTCTTTGTGAGACGCAGAGTAGGTGAACGGATGATCTCCGCATGTGTGGTTCCCACCTATGAAGCATGGAGGAGGAGGTGTGATGGTGTGGGGGTGCTTTGCTGGTGACATTATCAGTGATTTATTTAGAATTCAAGGCACACTTAACCAGCATGGCTACCACAGAATTCTGCAGCGATACGCCATCCCATCTGGTTTGTGCTTGGTGGGACTATCATTTGTTTTTCAACAGGACAATGACCCAACACACCTCACACACCTCATATTAAGGTATATCTGACAAAGAAGGAGAGTGATGGAGTGCTGCATCAGATGACCTGGCCTCCACAATCACCCGACCTCAACCCAATTGAGATGGTTTGGGATGAGTTGGAACGCAGAGTGAAGGAAAAGCAGCCAACAAGTGCTCAGCATATGTGGGAACTCCTTCAAGACTGTTGGAAAAGCATTCCAGGTGAAGCTGGTGGAGAGAATGCCAAGAGTGTGCAAAGCTGTCATCAAGGCAGGTGGCTACTTTGAAGAATCTAAAATCTAAAATATATTTTGATTTGTTTAACACTTTATTGGTTACTATATGATTCCATATGTGTTATTTCATAGTTGTGATGTCTTCACTATTATTCTACAATGTAAAAAATAGTAAAAATGAAGAAAAACCCTTGAATGAGTAGGTGTATCCAAACTTTTGACTGGTAGTGTATATACAGTGAGGGAAAAAAGTATTTGATCCCCTGCTGATTTTGTACGTTTGCCCACTGACAAAGACATGATCAGTCTATAATTTTAATGGTAGGTTTATTTGAACAGTGAGAGACAGAATAACAACAAGAAAATCCAGAAAAACGCATGTCAAAAATGTTATAAATTGATTTGCATTTTAATGAGGGAAATAAGTATTTGACCCCTCTGCAAAACATGACTTAGTACTTGGTGGCAAAACCCTTGTTGGCAATCACAGAGGTCAGACGTTTCTTGTAGTTGGCCACCAGGTTTGCACACATCTCAGGAGGGATTTTGTTCCACTCCTCTTTGCAGATCTTCTCCAAGTCATTAAGGTTTCGAGGCTGACGTTTGGCAACTCGACCTTCAGCTCCCTCCACAGATTTTCTATGGGATTAAGATCTGGAGACTGGCTAGGCCACTCCAGGACCTTAATGTGCTTCTTTTTGAGCCACTCCTTTGTTGCCTTGGCCGTGTGTTTTGGGTCATTGTCATGCTGGAATACCCATCCACGACCCATTTTCAATGCCCTGGCTGAGGGAAGGAGGTTCTCACCCAAGATTTGACAGTACATGGCCCCGTCCATCGTCCCTTTGATGTGGTGAAGTTGTCCTGTCCCCTTAGCAGAAAAACACCCCCAAAGCATAATGTTTCCACCTCCATGTTTGACGGTGGGGATGGTGTTCTTGGGGTCATAGGCAGCATTCCTCCTCCAAACATGGCGAGTTGAGTTGATCCCAAAGAGCTCGATTTTGGTCTCATCTGACCACAACACTTTCACTCAGTTCATCTGGCAAACTTCAGACGGCCCTGTATATGTGCTTTCTTGAGCAGGGGGACCTTGCGGGCGCTGCAGGATTTCAGTCCTTCACGGCGTAGTGTGTTGCCAATTGTTTTCTTGGTGACTATGGTCCCAGCTGCCTTGAGATCATTGACAAGATCCTCCCGTGTAGTTCTGGGCTGATTCCTCACCGTTCTCATGATCATTGCAACTCCACGAGGTGAGATCTTGCATGGAGCCCCAGGCCGAGGGAGATTGACAGTTATTTTGTGTTTCTTCCTTTTGCGAATAATTGCACCAACTGTTGTCACCTTCTAACTAAGCTGTTTGGCGATGGTCTTGTAGCCCATTCCAGCCTTGTGTAGGTCTACAATCTTGTCCCTGACATCCTTGGAGAGCTCTTTGGTCTTGGCCATGGTGGAGAGTTTGGAATCTGATTGATTGATTGCTTCTGTGGACAGGTGTCTATTTATACAGGTAACAAGCTGAGATTAGGAGCACTCCCTTTAAGAGTGTTCTCCTAATCTCAGCCCGTTACCTGTATAAAAGACACATGGGAGCCAGAAATCTTCTGATTGAGAGGGAATCAAATACTTATTTCCCTCATTAAAATGCAAACATTTTTTAAATGCGTTTTTCTGGATTTTGTTGTTGTTATTCTGTCTCTCACTGTTCAAATAAACCTACCATTAAAATTATAGACTGATCATTTCTTTGTCAGTGGGCAAACGTACAAAATCAGCAGGGGATCAAATACTTTTTTCCCTCACTGTATACAGTATATATTTTTTGTTTTTACCCCCTTTTTCTCCCTAATTTCGATCTTGTCTCATCGCTGC